TCGCTTACCCGCCCTGCTGTACGCAGCAAGTAAGGCGACCCGGCTGATGGCACCACGCAACGGCCGATGTGGCATGAGTTTATATGTGTATGTGAAATTCATGGTTTGATTTTTCCCTAATATGGATTCATAAAAATAACCAGTTTGCTTATAAGCAATCTGGTTTCAATTTTGTTGGCTAGCCTCTGAAAATTTAATCACATTCTTGAGGTACTGATACCGGTTACGTGCAAATACTGATAGGAGACTTAGTTATCCTGTAAAAACTGTCCCTAAGGTATGGTATTAGTCCTCTGAGACAGTGAATCTCTAATAAGAACGCTAATCACTCGCCAGTAGTCAGAGTATGGAATCAACAAAATGATTTTCTAACATTCATGGGATCTGCTCACCCAATCGCAGTTTTCTAGGAGATAGCAAAATTCTTTCTGTGTGGTTATATGAATGCGCCAATTAAATAATTCTGCTTCAGGTCCCGTTCACGTTGCATTCTTTGAAGCACGTATCGTAGCCACGTATCCGCCAAAAATCAGCTGCGATAACATGCATGCTGTTTCCTACACAAAACATTTATTTTCACGACTCAGTGCGGACTAATTGACTTCGGACGCTGCACCAGTTCGATTGTAGCTGGGGCAGAATGTAACTGCATTTGTACCAGTGCGCGGATGAATGACTTTTACTGGTGACTGAGAAAACGAAAGAGGTGGGAAAGTATTCTGTATCCTATATCGCTTGAATCGATTCAAACCCTGGGTGCTCTCTCATCATTTCGTCAAAAATATCTAACTATGCGCTCTTACGATGAGCGGAAAAATTTAGGAAAAACTTGCAGACGACTCAACAGCGCTCCGGTTTATGATGAGAATGAATGTGTTGTGGTTAGCCATACCTTGAATTTCCAATCAATTTTTGTTTCAGTTGTCCCACTAGCTGCATACTTCGCTCTACTTTCTCCCACCAGGATCAACTGCCGATAGATTAATTGCTTCTACAATGATAGTATTTTGCAATATCTCTCTTCGGGCTGTTTTTCTGAAGCATCCACTCTATTAAAAAACCAGCAGGATATTCGGACGGTATGTCATAATGGATAGGTAAAGCGGAAATTTGTTTCGGTTGGCAAATAGGGGATAGATTTTACCATGTCCCTACAATGGCTATACTCAGGCAAAAGGAGACATTGCAACTGCGAATGAAATAAATATTTGCGAATGACAATGTAAATGCCCCCAGACCGGAGAATTCATGGCACTGAGTAAGCACATGACTTATGACAATAATTATCAATGCTAATGAAGATAGGAACACTTCATAAGGGGAAATAACTTTTGGAGATAACAAATGACATCTAATTTGGACAGAAAACGAGTTAACCGTAGCCGTTGCTTTTACTCGTTCTGGTTCACAGATGGTATTTTTCATTCCCACCACACTTTTATCGGCCAACCGTTCGACCTTTTGTTCCGATTTTTTCATATGGTTTTTCTTTTACAGGGGCAATAATCGAGAAGAATGATCTGGCACAAGAGATATGTTTTCACAAAAGTGTCTCAGAAGCAAACAAACTGCTGCAAAGACATGACTCCCAACGTCGTGGGATACAGCTTGTACCTGTGATCGAAACGATTGGTGAAGACGATAGCTTTGAAGCTGCAAGGAAAGGTAAGTAAACCATGGGTAAGAAGTACTGTTGTACCGTGGCACTAATCCCTGTTATACTTGCATTCATACATTAATGCCCATTACACGATGATACACGAACAGCGAAGTCTTTGAGCAGTGAGTGGTTTAGATGAACGGCTGTGGACTATTTATAGGGTTATGTATTCTTGCATGGGCTCATGTATCAGTGAGCCAATGGAAAACCGTCAGTCTATGTAACAGAGCATTTACTCTACACTATCGGTACATCAAGTTTCATCAAGCATTTAACTCAACAAGACGAGTGTTGTACTACAAAAATAACAACAATGAAGCAATTTGACAACCTTTTTGACCTAATCAAATCTGAAATATGTTGCAATGCAGATTACCCTCATTTATCGACAATCCAAAAAATAGTCTTTACAGTTTTGCCGCAGAAAATTCGGCATCATGCAACGAGTACAAAAATCCAACATAACCAAAAAGCCTGTCACAATTTTCTGGGTTTGGTTTAGTTGCACAATTTTTGACTTTTTTGACTGCCCGTAGACAAACACCGTATAATTCAGTTTAACGTTGAATGTTGAATATCTTCACAAAAAAGCTACTCACAAGTTTGCTGGAAACTCCCTAAACCTTTGGGTAGTTTCCCTAAAGAACATACGCTGCCATTTCTTGAATATCGCACCGACTGAAACATGAGGCAGTCTTTGTGTAGTACAAGAACAATTAAAGAACATCACAAGCGAGATATTCAGTTGCATCTCTCGTAAAAATCAAATTGATATGAAAATGAGTGCATCTATCAAAATATGTTGAATGTCCTTTACACAAAGGAAAACTGATAAGACCATCAAACCGGTAACTGTATTTCGAATACGACTTAGGCTAAGTGAGTCACTGTGTTCGGTGTGCCTACAACGAGTGGCGGAAATATATTGAGAGTGTCTGTGTTCGCCATCGAACGTGTGGACTCAGCTACAATGAAAATCATATCCTTGACACACGCTTTCTTCATGGTCATCATCAGAAATTTTCTCTTGTCACTGCAATCCTCTGCACCTTCATGCATAGTACTCGGGTGTCTATAGTGTTGAGCAGTGTTGAGCACGACAAGCGTCACGTTTCCACAAGATATGCACAACTGCCGTCTTTTATGAAGAAATTATCAACAGCCGCATTGATTTAATGAATGGTACATTGCCTACCTGCTTATCTTTGGAACAGAAAATGCACCTTTGTGAAATAGACGTGATCGGAACTACAGTATCAAAACGGCGTAACGCATCCCTTCAGCCGCCTTGACTGAATGCCCACAAGTTATTCGGTCACCAAAACAAGAAAACAAGGTACACTCAATGATTAGCGCATTGTTTACAAGAGAGAGCCAGGCAGCTGTGTGAGAATGCAACGGTAGGTGGAAAACGCTGAGACTTGGATAGCAACGTGCTTTCAATTCGTTAGGACTTTGAAGACAGAAGCGCAACGTCAACAGCCCGAATACCATTTGGCTCACTCAATAAGTCAAAATAGTATAAATAGATCAAGGTGTAAAGTTTTGGACTGCTGGATATACTGGTTTGCGCAGTACAACCCTGTATGAACTGTTGTCACATTTGACCGCAGTTGACGGCAAAAAGTCGTTCAGTTCGCAGAATACTGGCTAGGCTAAATAGTGGAGCCAATGAATATAGGATTAAATCCGTATACCTAAAACAAACCTACTTACGGATGCAAGTAAGAGCTTCTCTGTTGCGTTGTTTTGAAATCTGATTCAGGTCAAAAGTGACGACGTGGGAAAGCATAAAATGTGGCAGTAATGGTTAAATTCTTCTCCGTGTTTGCTCTCTTCAAGAAGGAATTTCGTTCATCATAAGGTTATAGCTGAAATTTGATGAGCCAGTGAACGACAACCAAAAAACTTTATCATTAGACTAGCACATCGAGCACGAGTCGACTGCGAACAAACTGGGCGAATGCAGACAGAGCATAGGTGAGTTTACTTTTTTGTTTAAAAACTCAACTCCATCCTTAACAAGTGTGAGCTACCCACAGCTGCACTGAATTGAGTAAAACTACAAATGGGCTGTTACTCAACTGTTGCCCTGTCTGAGTGTACCCACGGGTTCTAAATTATTTTTTTTTGATCACATTCGATTTCCTGTTCCAGTTTAAATACATTCGTTTACGCCTTGTTACTGTTCGTAAACTTGTTATCAAGTAATGATTGGTGATTCGCTATGAGGTCTTTGGATATATGCGTTGAAGTTAGGCATGCATACAACGCAAAATTACCAATCCCACTGGTACGAAATTGAACGAGCCCCGTTACTCTTATAATATGCTGCCGTAGATCTCAGTGGACTGAACTTTTACAATGTAACTTTTGATTGCGAACCTCTTAGCAACAAGCTTTCACTCTTTGTATTCCCTATCCGACAGCATGCCGCCTACTCGAACGACAGGTTATCGCAATCTACGGACCAAACACACCGAATGCTATGGAGAGTGTCCAGTCACTGGCTAACCAATTTGGGATTCCTCATCTACAGATGGATTGGGGTTATAGGCAAAGCAGTCGTGGATTTTCCCTTAATGTTCACCCTCATTATCTGGCCTATGGACAAGCGCTGTATGATTATGTCCGCAAAGCTGAGTACTGGGATACGGTCGCTTTGATCTACTACAAAGAAGAAAGTGAGTAGTGGTAAAACTGTCGGAAAAATTGGGAAATAATCTCACAAAAGTGATTTGGGTAAACCAGTTCTCACACACCAAATGCCTAAGCCTGGGTTATGGCAGTTTGTGCTAAGAGGTCTGGTTATCAGCATTGGACGTGAGCGTGTACACAATGTGACGGAACCAGAAATGGTCCTATAGACAATTGTGACCAAGGCAGTTTAAAAGGCTAGTTGTGTTTTACTCGTGTTGCGGGTAAGAAGCTGGCTTCATTGGTCACTGACCAACATTTGTGTGCATTCTAAGACCGTACTGACCGGCCGGTGATCCGGAAGGAAAGGCATTTGCAAGAGGTTTGGGGGTTATCTCCGTCTTGAACATTTCATAGTGTAGTGCAAAAGTAGATCGAGACTTCTCGTCACGTTTTGGACTCCAATCTCTGGTAGAGGTGGTTCGTTGTGGAATGCAAGATGACACCAGAGTGAAATCACGTGAGTCAGTGGAAATAATCATAGGTCCTCACAACCAATCGTCAAAAATCTAGGCAACGTTTACAGCCTATATTTGGTTTTCTCGTTATGAACATAATCTTATCAAGCAAACTACTGTGAGAACAGATCATGGGCTTTAACTGGGTATTTGACGAGGCTTTCTATCATTGTGTAACACAATGAAATGGAAACGAGATCGAGATCTTTTTCAGTCCATGAAAGTCCCTTAGGTTATCATAATGATTCACCAACAACGTTCATCCCAGCGTTTCTTTCAGTTATGTTTCTTAAACGCTCAGTGATCTGACACGGTTCAATCAACGGTTCAACTCAACTATATCCATTTTATAAGGAACAAATCTATCCCTCGAATACGCTCCATTGTCTCCTGCAGGTCTATACAAATACGATTATTTACTGCGCAACTTCGACCAACCGGTAATGTTACGCAAATGGGACATGGTGAACGACAATTATAAATACGTCATCAAGCAGTTCAAAACCACGCAGACGCATTTTCGGTTTATTGTAGACATTCCATTTTGGGAAGTACAAGAATTTCTTGCCACAGTAAGTCTGAAGATAAGCTATTATTCGATACTCATTATTGATTGCAGGCAAACAATTACAACATGACGTCGCAATATTATAGTTACGTGTTCACGGACTGGGTATGTTAACATGTGATCGGTTTGATGCTCACAATGTTTTCCTTATCAGGACATTCAACTTGTTGATCCTTCTGCTTTTAAAGTAGTTCAAGGTGCAAATATTACAACGTTCTCCATTTTACGACCATTGGGTGAGGAAGGATATGGCATCGTGGCTCTACTGGATGATATACGTCTGGCCTTGCTCCAAGACGAAAGATTTGCTCGCACTACGACTTCAAGGCGTATTAGTCCAGTGAGTTTGGTAAAATTTGAAATTACCCTTATGAAAAAACTGTTGATGAATATTAATATGACATTGCAGAGCTCATGGTAAAATGCTGTCCCAGACTAGGTTTTAGTGTTTGACTCAGTGGCTAGTACGCTCGTCTCTATCCATCTATCAAGGCTACTTTGAATATATTCCCCACTGAAATACGTTTCCCTAATATTTGTTTGCAACGAAGTAAACAGAACGTAGTTACCAACTACCAATATTCATCTCAGAATTTCCGCAAGGTGAAAAATTGCTAGAGCGGAATTCCTTCTCCCAACAGACTGCTTTGCATCCTATTCAAAGTCCGGTAAACTATAAGCATTCGAATGCGAACAAAATATAGCATTACGTCAGTCTTTGTTTCAGGCAGAATTTTCCTTACCAGTGGTCCTGGGACCGGTTTGGTGTTCCATATACATACGCGTATGTGTGTACAAATAATGTGATGTACGAATTTGATCGTAAATTTTACGATTTAGCAAAGTTAGTTTATTGACAAAATGTCAGATATAATTCAATGATCAGGGGGCTTGTTTTCGCGTCCTTGTTTTACGTATGCTGATTGATAGCAGCAATAGTTAGTTAAGGTCAGCTATTCACATGGTTTGCCTATGTATCTTCAAGAAACAAGCATAATGTCGAATTATAAAATCGATAAAACGATACTGTAGCCCTTTTTGGAGGTCATAACCACCTGACTCCCAGTGATTCAAAACTGTTCCGTTAGGAGTTTTTAATTCAACTAGACGACCACATTTCAAATTGGAGTGGTTGAAATATCTCACTTCTAAAATATTTGTCATTTAAAAAGCCCACAAACTGAAACATTAGCTACACGGGTGAGCTGTCATGATGCCATTCAGTCTATCAGTACTTCTAATCATTCGAAATGTTTCAAAAGCGAAACGTAAACAAAATGAGCCGACTGGAGAGAAACGTTTGACTCTCGTCTATCTGGCTCAAGCTTGTACAAGAAAAAAGACAAACAACAATGCGTGCAAATGCCAATATTTTTTAAATCAGAAGTAATTATAGACAAGACAATAACTGATCTACCGACCATGCAGTACTCAGTGCCTTCTCATATGTTTCCATATAGAAACACAACTAGCAACTATCTGTAAACTAGGTTCTTCAAATTATTGGCATTCTGAGCTTTAGTTTGCAAACCCTCTTGGAGAAAGTTAAGGCGCACATGCACATCAGGTGCCGGGGTGAAAGATGTTGCGTCATCCACAACTGTGCAACCGAAATGCACCTAAAAAATTACATTGCTTTGTTGTCCGGATTTCATTTGATTGCTTCTGACAGAGGTTAGTCAAGGTGATCCAGAATTTGTTTGCGCCCTCTTACTTCACAACAGCTACTGATCCTGCTTGAAAGTAGTAAAATCAACATAGCCCGAATTCCAGGATCGGATCTGGGGGTGAATGCTTTGCTTAACAACCTAATTGTAAATCTGTTGGAATAGGAACAAAACATTTGATGGAGGGGGTGAATATCACTATTTGAGGTTAAAAACTGAAGAACTTCAATCTGTTCCGAATTATGTCTAATGTGCTTAGATGGAATGTGAGCTAAACAAACTTAGTTCACCACTGTAGGACAACGAAATGAGAGAGAGTCGTAGCTTCAGAATTACCGATTAATTTTAGAATCTGTCGGTTCCAACCAACCAACAGCAGAGTCAACCATCACTGCTAGAACGCCTTCCCGTCTCAGGAGAAGCGCCTACCAGTGAACCAAGTCAGTAACCCGGAAATCGATCATAGTAGATACTAGCACCTACAACATTCCACTAAACGATCAAAAACAACTATTGGAACTCAGCACAGATGAGTTAGAATACATGTTCATTCCAGATATGAGGAAAAGTTTTTTTACCTTTCATTCGCATGAAAAATGGTGGTGGGCTCAGACACAGGTATCGCGTACAGCTAAAAGGGCAGAGAAGGAATTAAATAGGAAGCGACTGGATAAGTCGACTAATGCAGCAATGGTCCACCGCATTCTTTTAGCTCTGAACATCTTTAAGAGATTTTTAAAGCCCAGACCACTTTACTTTCAGTGCAGTTTTGCTTTTTGACAGCTCTGTGAGGAGAACACAACCATTCAGCAAATTTAGGCGCTTTACAAAGAATATTTGAGTGTCAGTGTGAATTTATTTCAAGGAATCTGACTTAGAACAATTTTGGTGTTCATAATGTCGTACCCTAAGTCACGCCCTATCGTTCTAAGTTGAAGATGCCTGGTCCTTCAGTGAAACATTCTGCTGTTCCATAATACCATAAGCGATGACAACGCGCTGCAAACTATGACGTTTCTAGTATCGCACGGAAATTCATGCAGCCAGTGGGTGTTTCACCCGGTACGGCAGTGCGACAATCCCTCACCTTATGGCAGCTGGTACGAAGTCACGGACTGTTGTTGGCATATCGTGTTGAGAAATGAGTTATCTGAACAGGCTTCCATTGTAAGGACCGTGGATAGCACAGTGAATGTAACAAAGCTGAACATTCCGCTACATGCTTCGATTCTGAAATTTTGGAGAAGTTCGGCTGTAAAATCTCATCATGCGACTAGTTCGATTGGACATAACAATACTTGTAAACACGTGACTCTCCGGTGACCTGGTTTTGGAAATTATTTACGCTGAAATGGAATGACTGAGAACTTTGAGCAGCGCAATCCCTTCGCACTATTCACAAAAGCAACTTGAACATCGACTGCCACTAAGTATTTTCAGCAATGCCAGTCGAACCGTATTGACTGGGAATATTGCTTGAGTTTGAACCAATTGACCGAATGTTCTGAAAATTATAGCTCGTTCCAGCACCGTGTGAGGAGATAAGGAAGAGGAACTGTTTATCAAAGTTCACACCATGGCCTTTTATGAACAAGTCCGAGTCAAGGGCTCCTTCATCTCGACGTACATTAGGGGCTACTCATCGGAGTACAACCGAGTTTGTGTTTACCTCAAATGACGCATGTTTTCTTTATCGACTTCCACCCTTTTTCGAAGCCCATTGGAAAGCTTCTTGAAAAAGTCCATGCACAAAAAATTGTTCCGTAGAAGCAAACATCACGAATTTTCATTCGGCGTTAGTTTCTTTCTGGGAATGGGAATGTTCTTACATTCGGAATGCGTCGAGTGACACACATGCCCTTGTTTTGAATACCTCGGAGTATATTGTCACGCCAACATTGTTCTGACGTTTGCTATCGCTAAGTTTGTAGTGCTTGGTATGAACTCTCACTGGGATATTATACACGTTGGACTAAAAAGCTGAAAATGATTTCGCTTCTTAACCACAAAAATCCAAGCGAGCTAAAAAAGATGCGTCCATTTCTGTAAACTACCTTAGTCAAGTCACTAGATGTTGAAACAGGAAATCCAAGTTCGAAAATAAAGCAAAGCGAAATCAAACATTGCCACGAATATTCAAGAGGTTTTAAATTTTTTCTCGAAGTGAAATCCAGCTAGGCTGAGGAGTTAGGGTGCACCATGAAGCTAGCTTTTTTCTGTGGTGAAAAATCATCATTCAGTTGCCCACGAATATCTGTTGTTTTATAGCCTCTCATTCACACCGCTTCAATGTTTGTCGTGCGCACATTTCACGAGTATGTTTCGAATAAATCTTCACTTATACACCCTTGTTCGTCATCCGTCAGGTAAAGCCTTTTTTATTATCGCACTTATCTGCCCATGTTTGGTGATGGCAGTTATATCATAGATTCGTTTGAAATTGTGTTGCATTACGTCTGCACTTATCCCATCCATTTACTGTGACTTCACATCTGGCTTGTAGAAATTATTGTCATAATTTGACCAAAAGTTTCATAAACCAAATAAGAGAAAATTTGTTGCAAAACGGCTAGCATTTAGCATGTCAGGCTGTTTTGTACGCAAACTCGTTTTTCGCACAAAACTGGCAGCAGCTCAACATCAATTTAGCAGCCGTCAGACAACGGACAGATGAAAAAACTCGTTAGAACCGTTAATTACAGCAGTGGCATAGGTGAAAAATTTCCAAGTCAGTAGGTCTAAGCGAGTTTGGCAGAAACCACGCTGCTTCACTTTTCTGAATTTCAGTGACGAATGTAAATGCCATCTAAAATTAGTACCATTATTCGGATTGTCACGACAGGAACGCATCTGGCTGGAACTTACTAGAAAATAGAACACTCGGTGTTTCGTGAAATGGGAAATCCAACTGGTAGTAGTATTAGGAAGTTGTATGAACGTAATTAAAGGATTAACACGAAACACGGTCCAATGTTTAACCGATGGGGTTTCGAAAAACCAGCTGACGGACACGGCAACTCTGGTCACAACCATATGCCCGTACTTCACAACATTTTGTATCTGTCAACGCCACGGAGCGAGTTTCACAATGGGCCAGTGGGGTTTTCATATGCACCAAGCATCTTGCTGCTAACTGAAAAAAGTGGACTTTCCGTTTAACGGAAAATCATTCGTCTGAATTCGCCTCGGGATATTTATGTGTTCAGAATACTCGTTGCGAACTTAGTAATCAACTCTCTTTAAAGTAGTGGGTTACATCAAATCTTATTTCAAATTTCCGGGTGGCATGGTATGAAATTTCACAACGGTATCAGACCAAAATTTGTTGAGTAAAAGTATGGACAGTGAAACCAAAATTAGTTGTTTAAACCACTGAGGGCAGGATCGCCCCCGTGCTTTCTGTATACAAACAGCAGCCCATTTCTATGAAGTACCTTCAATACCCTTAGGAAGCACCACCATTTTGGAGCAATTTCTACTTAAGGACGGATATTATCCAAACTCCATCAAGAAAAGAATTAACGTCAAGCTGGGGCATATTCTGGCTGAGAATAACTCTGGTTCCAAGACATCCTTGAATTTGGGAAATGGACTTCTCTTTGTGTTTTCACCACGGGGTATTTACGTACTGAGATAGTATTGATTATGGCGGTCAGTCTTGGCGAACCACATTGTATCAGAAAGCGAAACTGAGTAAAGTATACTTCGCCAAGGAAGGACATTGAATAAAGTCCGTACTTCCGACGGCTGCGTTTCAAATGTTATGATTATTATTATTGTTATTTAGGCTTCTCCAATTTAAGTAACTGTTTGAAAAATTAGCACCATGATTTTCCACAATTGGAATTAATTTCGGGTCATAGTTACGGCGATAAAAAATTAACAATCTTACAAAGTACATCTGGCGCGCCATCTCTAATACTTCGGAGAGCGTTCTGTTTCTATCGGCATGTTTCACGGCTTGGTCTTAATTCTTACCATATATTAGTGTGAATAAGATTTTCTATTCTAGACGGATTGTTGTTGCCGCTCATGCCATGAACTTTTTAGGGGATTTTACCACTTAAGTTCATTCGAATTTATAAGCTCAGCGTTCCACAGGGTCCCTTGAGGGCCTAGACAGCATCGAGCTGCTTGTGCTTTTGAGATTTTAAGATTTTAATCATCGAAGCACAATGTGGTTTGCCATAAAAAGCAACTCATGTTGCCAAGATCTCTTAATCAACCCAAGACCGGTCTTATATTCCTGGGATCTGATCAAGTAGGCTAAGTCGAGGAGATTTCTTGAACCTTAAGTTCCAAGTGAAGAACGAATTATACATAAACCTATGAGTAGGATGTTTGGTGTGTAAAATATACTGTGATATCTCGAATATCGTGCAATGTGAAACCCGAGGCAGCACATTTGTTTAAAGAATATCACAGACGAATGGTTAGTCTGGGATTTATTTGAGTATTCCATGGGGAATAGCTTAATTTACAAACTACGAAGGTTCACCCACAACTCACGCATTTTGTCTTAATTGAGCCTCGTCGACTATACACACAAGGATCAGTCGAATTCCCCTTCGGTTAACAGAATTCATCATGTGACTTGAAACGTCTACTAGCGAAATGGCTGGCATGAGTCCAACTGGTTCTTGGATTAGCTCGTGTGAAAAAACTTGCCAGAAAGTTTTTTTCACGTGAGAATAGCCTTTCGTACATGAAAGAACTGAAAAACATGTTTTCAAACACGATGTCTAGTCGTACTTATATATATGTCGACACACTACACGATTTCTCTCGGCCGTTTTCTCTGCTGTTTTTCTTGCCTTAGTCTTAGACGACGGGTTGTATATTGTTTACATTTATTCTCAAACGACTTTCCGTACTTAGTTCAAATTTAAGTTGATCCAGAAATACTAAATATTCTAATGAATCGAAAGCCAAAACTATCTTTATTTGATTGCTATCTTGTCATTTGTGGAGAAAAGTAAGAGTTTGAAGCAGTCTGAGAGGTTGGAGAAGTAGCTTGTGAATCGTGAAATTTCAGTTGAAATAGTTTATACCGGAAGCACCGTTTTGTTCTTGTTGGGAATAACCATTTTAACGGGCACTTCACGATGTTTCGGAATATTCGAACCAGACGCCGTTTGACCCATTGCATATTCGTGAGCAAACGGTACGGTATCCATCTGTTTGCCCATTGGTCGCAGCTTCAGTTCACCCTGGAGGTCCGTTAGTTTTGCACTCCCGATGAGGTTCGCTTGACCTGACGTCCTTCAGTAGGAACAAGTCATCCCATTCACAATCAAGTTGATCACATTATGGCAATTAGTAGTGAGAGAGTACTTACTTACTTTCATCTAGCTGGTCGAGTAACATGCGCTATCTATGACATAAACTGACCTTCGTTCCAACGTATCGCTTCAAATCTGCTTGTATGTAAAAGGGCAGACAAGTTTATAGGTTAAAGAAGTACCTCGGTCGTGCATTATCTGCTGGTTAGGCGGACCCGATTAAGTTTCCACTATCATCTAAGATAAAATCTTCATTGACAACAAACAGAGTTTTCACAGTACAAGTCAGAAATATGAGGGAAATCAAGAACTTAATTCTAACTTAATTCTGACCTAGTATGTTCCCAGACTGTTGGACCAGGAGCTGAAGAACGTAATCTAGCACCCTCTGAGTCTTGGTACCATCGTTGTGACCGATCGAGCTATAATGCCAACTAATAAGTATGGCGATCATATTGGTGTGCGTTTTTTATGGCAGCCGTAGATGAATATCTGGATATGCGCATGTAAAATTTCATCACCAACAACAGATGAGTCCAAGAATAGATGTCATAGAAATGAATAATTTTGAGTATATATATATATATATATATATACTCAAAATTATTCATTTCCATGACATCTATTCTTGGACTCATCTGTTGTTGGTGATGAAATTTTACATGC